CAAACTTCAATTTTTTCCCACAGGGTACTTATATACAAATAAAACTCTGTTCTTTGGCCTAGGATGAGCATGAATTTGGGCACATACACACACTCACACATATTTGTATGTATCCCTCGTGTTAACTACAATACGCCAGCAAAACCAGTAAAGCTCTCACACTAAAGAAAAGTAACACAATTTAAAAGACATTATCTGTCGCATAGAAATCGAGACTTTTGTTAACATTATTTTAATTTTCTTTGTACAATTCTTTCATTTACGTTAAACCATATAGCATACTGCTATTGGAAGTTTCGCGCATACAAAAGCAATCGGGGCAAAAGTCAATGCCTCTATGGCACCGGGATGCAACTTTTATGATTTGTCTTTTTCACAAAAGCGCCACATTCGTGGCCGTTTTATATAATGAAGTATTCAACTTACATTTAAATATGTTTGTATACATATATGCAGCGTCGCCTTTTCACAGCCGGATACGTGGATTTGTGTGCATGTGTTAGCTTCGTCGTGGTAACTTCTTGTCTCTTTTATTTGAAGGACTATGCCACAAATTCACTTCTTTGTTAACTCTCGCTGTTGTGTTTCACACGTGGAGAATAAAAAAAATTCGTTGCACTTTTTTACGTTTTCTTGAAGAAATGCACTACTAAAACTTCATAGGATACCGTTTGATGATAAAAATTGTTTCGAGCACACTAGAATACTTATTCTAAATATATTAAAATTTCTAAATTTTCTAGAAAAAAATTTTTTTTACGGTTTAGCTAATAAGGAGTGATAAAGTTTGAAACGGGCACCGCACGAAATATCACAAACGGTACAACTCCTGTGAAAAACTATCAGCAACTGAACTAGACGCGTTAACATATAGCATTTAAATACGCGCCAGCACAGAATGTTGGTTTTTATTACAGCGTTGCCATAACGCTGTGATATTTTTGCGGTGTTCTTTTGAGGAATTTTTAATTTTTGTAATTTTTTTTTGTATTTTTGTAGATTTAAGTATATTAAAAAATTTATTAATTTATTAAAAATAAACATTTTTCATTAATCTTGTACTGATTTCTTTACACTTATTTTATTTTTAAGTTTTTTTTTATTAATATTGTGCATGAAATTCGCTTCAACTCAAAACGTTATCAGGTAAAATAATCAAAAAAATTTATTTCACACCACTGCGTCGTGATTTTTATGAATTTTTTACAAGAATTTCGATTTTGAAAGTATTTTTGCAAGCATTTTATTATTCAATATGGAATTTTTATCTTTAGATGTATGTATGGGAATATAAAAATGAGTAAGTAAAATCATTCATAAGAAGTTATCATAAACTTTCCGTGAGCTCTAACCCAATATTTGATTGAATAAAATCGATTATTTAATCTTAAAATTTCAAACATTTAAAAAAATAAAAATTT